CCTGCCTAGGTATAGGGTTTCCTGCCTAGGCAGGGGGTTGGACTAGAAGACCTCCAAGGTCCCTTCCAACTCTGCTATTGTATTGTATTGTATAACTCAAGTTGTTACACAACTTACTGGAAGCAGCAGAGTCCAGATGCAAGGTGCATTTCAAGACTTGAGCTTAGATGCAGAGCAGGGCTCGTCAAGATCTTTGGAGGTCATTATCCTATGATAATTTTTAAGGTTTCAATAGAAAACATCTATAGCCGAGGGTAGAACTGTGGAGTCCATCCTACACTCTGAGCGTGGTTATTTAATTGTAGACATTTCAGTACCCAATTTGGTGGCATTGTCAATGCAGGTGAATATAGGGTTTGCTGCTAGCTTCTGCCAGTTTTTAAAATTGTTTATTTAGCAAATTTTATAGCCGCCTATCTCACTAAACGGGAATCTGAGCAGCATTGTCTCTCTTGAATGGTGTGTAAATATAATTTATCTCTATGTGTCTATTGGAGGCAGGTTTTGCTGATGATCTGAAATGAAATATGAACAAAACTGAAACTAAATACATTTTCTTGCCATAATCTGTTTTTTAGATTTATGCCCTCTAGATGTGGGTCTGCCCTTGGTTTAGAAACAGTTGTGCATTTCTTTTGTATTGGTGGGTGTGTGCTTCTCCCAGAATTCCATTGTTGCACTTCAAATTTGTGTAAAAAAAGCCACATTTCAGTAATACAAAAACTGCTTCAATTTTTGTGAAAACATCGAAATGAAAAGTGGGGTTGAAGTTAATTCTGTCTCTTAGCACCCCAAAATGATCCAAAATCATATCAATATTTCTAGAGATGAAAAGATAAAGATACTTGCCTCCTGGTGGCTTCCTGTTTCCATTCTTAAAATAGAACAAAAGGACCAAAAACAAGATGTTCCTTCTCGCCCTTTCCTGGGATTTTGCTACATCATTGGATAGTCTTCTGTGTCTAAACTAAGTTGTAGCCTCTGGTTTTTCAGTCCTCTCCACTTTTGACATGGAAGCTGTAAAAAGGCTATGACTGCAGTAGAGTAAGCAGAGTTGAGCTGAACAGAAGAAATAGCCAAGTTGGGCAACATCTCTGCAATGGGCATCCTTGGAGCCACAAAACAGGTTCAAGATGGCTGCTTTTTGGTCTTTGTCGGCATCATGGAGCCTCTGTATTTGTGCACTGCCCCAGAATGAAGATAGCAACTCTGAACCCATCTCCAATAGGAGCCACAACGAGGAATATCCAACATCAAAGTTGCAAAGCAGATCAGAGAACAGTTTCTGTGTCCTGCTGGCAATGAGCCAAAACCCCTCAGTAAAAGATGACCTAATAATAACTCTGTTATTCTGTATTCCTGTGGTATGTTAATGAGCTGAAGCATTTTAAAGTCCAGAATAGTGAGATAACATTTGGATGTGCTTCAGGCTGATTCCTCCCTAATTCATTGAACTACAAGAAGGAGGAGGTATAGCAAAATCAGATTTGCAAGTTCCCATTATTATAGTATTTCTGTGGAGTTTATGTTTCGGTCTCATCTGCCTAATGGGGTTGACACACTTAAAATGCCTCTGAAATAATGCTCCAACATTGTAGTTATTAGAATAGAATAGAATAGAATAGAAAATAGGGCAGGACAGGATAGAATAGAATAGACTAGCAGAGTTGGAAAGGACCTTGGAGGTCTTCCTAATCCAACTCAGGCAGGAAGCCTTATACCATTTCAGACAAATGATTGTCCAATCACTTCTTTAAAAACTTTCAGTGTTGGAGCTAATCACAACTTTGGGAAGCAAGTTGTCCCACAGATTAATTGTTCTAACTGTCAGAAAATTTCTCCTTGGTTCTAAGTTGCTTCTCTCCTTGATTAGTTTCCCTCATTGCTTCTTGTCCTACCCTCAGGTGCTTTGGAGAATAGCTTAACTTCTTCTTTGTGAAAACCCCTGAGATATTGGAACACTGCTATCATGTCATCCCTAGTCCTTCTTTTCATTAAACTAGACAAACCCAGTTCCAGCAACTGTTCTTTATATGTTTCAGCTTCCAGTCCCCAAATGATCCTTGTTGCTCTTTTCTGCACTCTTTCTAGAGTCTCAACATCTTTTTTACATTGTGGTGGCTAAAATTAGATGCAATATTCCAAGTGTAGCCTTAGTTAGTACCAGGGCATTATAAAGTTGTAATTCTACCCTTCTGTTAATGGATTCTACCTCTCTGTTCATGGATTTTATTTCTGTTGTTAAAAAAGAAACTTAAACTTTGAGATGGAATATTAGATAAAATTCTTAATGTATTTTCTTGGGATAATAACTTCTGGGCAACTCTGCCTCCACGGTG